CCTTTTTTTTTTTTTTTTTTTGCTATAGGGCGTGTGCGCTCGCTAGACAGACAGACAGACAGAGAGACACAAAGCGAGAAATCACCCCCCAGGGGGGATGGCCACACTACAATCCTTTCTCCTCCATTTTCTTCTCAGGATCTTGGGCACGCACGCACACACGCCCGGGGTGAGTTTAAGCCGCTGGGTCCGGGACTCAGACCGCGGTCGGCTATGTCCAGCGAGCGATATAGCCATTACGCTAACTGCTGGTCCCCAGGATAGCTTTATTTTAAACCTAGTGACAGGAGCCTTTCTGTAATGTGAGCTATGTGTCTGTGGGCTTCTTCATAAATTACTCTGTGGAGACCAACACTTAACAAGTTTTGTTAAGTCAGAATGTGGTTTCCTAAATAACTTTCTAATTAAATAACTAGAACTAATTTCAAAGCTGTGCTGTGAGAGTTGGCAAAATGTCTTCAGTCTATATTCCTATTATAATCAGGCAAGCTGGGATTTGGAGGACAGTGAGGGCAAAGTGGTGTGAGTGTATGGCGAAGTCATGGCAAGCTCATTCCTTAGGCTCGTTTTTGTTAAGTTGAAAGAACTGCACCTTTAGGATCAGATGTCTTCTTGGAATGCCTGCAAAAGAATTTTTTTTTTTTTTTTTTGTCTCACAAAATTGGAACGTTTTTGTGCTGTTCTCTAGGTTAACATCAAGTGAGGACAGATTGGGGATGGCATCTGATAGTGTTGTCTTGATATGGTTTATGACAAACAGCTGGGCGGTTCCAAGGAGTACAAGGCTGGCCACCTGGATAAGAAAATTGTTAAAATAGCATTTTGTGGAATTCTACATAGGAAGAAATAGGAATAATTATTGAAAGTACATACTTACCCATTTTGGCTTAATTTTATCATTGAAGCCTTTTAAGTAGCTGGCACTATCTTTTCTTGGAATACAGCGGTGATCAAGAACTTCAAGGAGCCATTATATTTATATAAGACCTCTCATACTCCAGCTTCATATATCTTAACATCGCCTGTCTTGTATACAGTTTTCTCATTTATGTTCTCATGTTCAGTTTTCCAAATTTACCCTGTGTTCTACACAAACAACTTGAAATCCCCCAAATTGTTTTGTTTTTAAGGCTTTTTAAAATGTGTGTGTGTGTGTGTGTGTGTGTGTGTGTGTGTAGAGTTTAGTTTTTTTGCCATAGGGTGCATGTGTTCATTTGAGAGACAGAAGAAGTGAGAGGGGATGTGAGAATTCACCCCCCCTCCCCGGGGGGGCGGAGATGGCCACACCACAGTTCCTTCTCCATTCTTCTCCCAGGATTTTGGCACACTTGCACAGGCTGCCATCTCCAGGACTCAAAACTGTACTCAGCCATGTATGTGGGAGTCCAGTTCCTTAACCACTATGACAGCTTCAGCCCCTATTTCTTTAAGTCTTTACAGACGTTAATTTCATTTCCTGAGTGACTTGTTTTCCCTTATCTTATGGAT